TTGTGCTGACTTTTTACAGTCAGTTACAATAACTCATACTGCATACTAGCTAGCATGACGGAGTGTCTATACAGCTGGGTGGGTGCTATGATCTTACTAATAGTGAACTTTATTTAATTCATAAGGTTAGTTAGTAGAGTTGCCAACCGTCCTGTAAAAAGACGGAATTGTCTCGTATTCAGAGAAAATATTACGCGTTTGGTGTTGAGCTGAAAAGGGACGCAGTTTGTTCCGTACTTCAGCTAGGATGGAAAAAGACACAAAGGTGGATTTATTCTGTTACACTGCACAGCTGCCTTTTCTCTCATTCTTTCCCCTCTCTCTCCTGTTGCTACTTCAATCTTGAAACTGATCAATGATCAGCTGATCGGCTTTTCTCTCTTGTTTGTTTATCGCCCACTTTGCGCCAGAAAGAGGAAACCGCCGGATGTCCCGCTAAACAACAGCAGCATGTTTAAGCTTGATCAGCAGTTGTTAGAATTTATTTAATAACCTGCTGGTCATGATATCTGGTGATATCAGGATATCTGGTGAGAGGGAAACATGCAGATGAAACCAGGAGATGTCCTTACTGAATCATCAGAGCTGAACAGGTGATGGAGAAACAGGTTTACCTTTTAGGTGACATGGGTGAGAGGGATTGTAATGAATGAGCTCTCCCCCTTTTAGTGTCTGGAGTTGGGAAGGAGCAGTGTGTGTGGTGTGGGGGTATACCTGGAAAGCTGGCTTCCCGGTTGAACACAAGGTGTCGAAGCAGTGGGAAACGCTGTGGGTCAAAATAAAAGAACTGCAACTGACAATTGAACACTGTGTGGGTCCTGATCATTTCACAGTCAGGTTACTAGAAGGCTGAAGTGTTAAAATAGAGTTTCAGTAAGTTATAACGTAGACCTTTGAAGTGTAATTCAAGTAGAACATCCACATGGATGGAATGACTCAAGGTTTCCCATGAAAACATTGCCTGAAGCATCACACTGTCTCCTCTGGCTTGCATAGTAAATCATAGTCTCAGATGTTCCTCAGTAAAGAACACACACCACCATCCACGTGGTATAAAAAAAAAGGTCAAACCAGACCTTCTTCCTTTGCTCCGTGTTCCAGTTCTGATATGCTCACATCATTGTGGCACTTTGGTCTGTGGACGGGGATCAGCATGGGCACCCTGACTGGTCCACGGCTATGTCCCATACACAACAAACTACGATGCATTGTGTATTCTGACACTAGGGGGTATCCCACAAGGATGCCTTCCCCTTACCCAGTATTGACAAGTCCCTTGATGCTTTGTCAGGTGTCATCCTGTTTTCAACTTTGGACCTTGCAGCAGGTTATAGCCAAGTCCCCTTCTGTATTCCATTTAGGTTGTTTGAGTGGAATAGACCCTGTGCACGAGAAAATGCTAACTTCCTGGTTTGAGACCGGATGTAGGGTTGTACATTTCCGGTAGCTTTACTTTGCGGTCAATCGCGAAGATATACTCCAAAATCATGTCCAAAACTCGAGAAACAGAAAGATCGCGTTAAGTTACAAAGAGCAGAAGGTGGGAACACTCACCACTGTTGTGTCATAAAAAAATCTAATGATCAATTTTGACGTTTAAACAGTTTAGATCGATCAGTTGTTTACATCACTCAACACAAGCAGAACTGCATTACTGCAGCAGAAGACACATCGTCCACATTCAGAAGCACATCTCTGTATAGTGACTGGTCTTATGATTTAAACGGGCAAATGTTCAGCATTCAAACTACAGGTGAAGAATAGTCAAACCAGATGTTTCCCGTTATGTCGAGATCAGCTAGTCAGGTACACACCTACACAGCATGTTAACAAACCGTGAAAAAAGCCACACAAAAAGTATGATTGCTGGTAACGGTTTCTATACATTAGCATTTATGAAGGGTATGTTGTGACTTACCTTCAAAACTACAGTGGTCCCTCGCGGTTCACCTTTCACCTCACTGTTTCGCAGATTTTTTTAGTGCAAGTTTGCATGCCTTTTTTTTTTACATCACATTGTGTCCTGCGTCCTGATCGTTGCTCCTCCTTGATGTCTCTCCTGTACAGTACAGAATCGCTGCATGGCTAGCAGTGTGACTCTGAAGTGCAGTACTGTATGTCCACGATGTCCACGAAACGTTTTGCACAGTCAAAAAATAAAATTGGCTACTTGATTTCACCTATCGCTGGTTATTTTTAGAACATAACACCCGCGATAAACGAGGGGCCGCTGTTTACAGATACTGAGAAATATAAAATTTGAATCCCTTTTCTCTTTTGCTCTGAGGCGCAGGGGAAAAATATCGACAAGTCGATGAAAATCATTTACAGATATATTGGGTAAATGCCCAAGACATCTATAGAAAGGTAAATCGCCGCTCGATTCATTCATTTGCTTAACTTGTTTTGGACCATAAACAAGGCGCGAATAGGACACCGGAAACAAAGCTCCCCACAGGAGTTTCCACACCGGAAGTAGCATATGCTAACGCGCACATAGTCTATAATGCCCTTTTAAGTTGTGTAATGCCCCGAGTACATTTCAGAAATTAAGGGACAGCATATTTGGGGACCAGCAGTCATTACTGCTCTACTTGGAAGATGTCATTGTGTTCTTTCTACAGTGGAGGAGCATGTGAGTTGTTCTGGGCCATCTTCAGTAAGAAGGTCTCAAAGTAAAGTTGGAACAGTGTTCCTTTTTTCAAGCTATTTGTGTGTGCCTACAGACACTAATAAAATAGAAACCGTTTCTAAGTGGATTTGAGTTCCTTCTTTGGCTCTGCAAGCTACTATTGCTGTGTTGTTGAAAGATTTGCCTAGTTGGCTGCTCCTTTGCATTGCTTAATAGCTGAGCTGACTGGTACTAAGTCTAGGAAACTCAAGAAGGGTTTTGTCTGCAGTATGTTGGGGGAGATTAAGCACTTTTGGTGAGGTTTCCTCTTATGCATTTGAGGGTAAACACCGGAATATGAGCATAAAACCCCATTTAAGTTGCAGCGAGAACTGCAGTGCGAATCTCGGGTATCTGGTAGCACCCCTTGGGCACTCCTCCCTGGCCTCTCCGAGTTGCCTGTCTTTAACTGCATTAATCAATTAATTTTGTTGTTTTTAAGCAATATCTGGTGTTTTAATTAAATGTCTTGTAGTCTGCTACTTAATTTTCAGTTATTTTTGTTTAATGAGTGATTGCCGCGCCTCTGTCTTTGTCAATAACAAACCTGTGCCTTCGCAAAAACTTTTGCACTAGTTAATCTAATATTTCCTGGGGTGAATCCCACCCCCAGGTGGCGTTGTCGGCACCTTTTAGTTGCCTTTTCAGTTTTCTCCTCCTTGCAGCCACGTAACGTTATACCTGATGGTTTAATATATGAGTTGGACTTAGACCGGGGAGGAAATGCCAAGGAGGGCTTTAAATCTAGATTAGGCATGTGACACTTCAATAGTCACTATTTTATACAATCACTTTTCTCTATATATACAATGATAAACCAGCGTTGAACTTACAAAAAAATCGCATCACTTTATCTGTGAGCACTGTATTTATAAAAATAGAGAAAGTAAAATGGTCAGTTCAACATGCTAAACTAAATCTGTTTTAAATTTTATTTTCTAAACTTGAATCTTATCATTTAAAACTAGTTTTCTTTCGATGTCTGTGGTGGATTTTCCGCCACCGGGTGGCACCCGTGTCTGCTGCTGTGCTGTGCGGTTTGAAGCTCCCTCCCTGAAGGAGGCTGACCTCTTTCCCGCGATGACAGTTTCCTGCAGGCTTGCTGAGGCGGACTGCTCGCCCTCACAGTAGGATGTGCTGACGGGGAGCAGGGTTAGAAAGAGTTGAGCTGCTCGGCATGCAGTGGACGAAGCTGACAAAGTGATTATTAGTTCATTTTTCAAGGAGCAGCGAATGTCGCAGGTGGATACCGGTGAGTGTGACGCTTCCTTGGCGGTAAGGGAAGAAAAAGAAGTTGTTTTTCGGTTGGTGTTTGATGCACGTATTACTGGTAGGTGAAGTCCTAGCCCTAATACGTGTCACTCTGGGGCGTCAGACTCCATCTAAGAAATGAGCGTTTAAGACTTGCACTATTTAACAGTCAAGTTATGTACGTTTTTATGAATCGTGTAACTACACTCTGATTTAATCATTGATGCTCTTTTATTCGGCTCGCATATAGCCACATAAAATAACACATTTAGCAGTAAAGAGTGTACTTTAATGACGCCTTCACACTTGTCGGTGCTAGCCACTGCACTGTGTTTTGGCAGCGCAAGGCTGAAGCGAGGACGGGTGAGGCACTTTTCAAAGTTGAAGTACTCTCGTAGAAATGCGAGGGGATGCAATGAATATATGCCGAATTAAAGAGTGACTCTAATTGTTTTGCCACAGGTAATGAATTCGTTTCTATCTAAAGCGTACTCACCCTGTTCCTCAGAGACAAAAAAATGGCATTTTTGTAAGGGAGTTTTGTGCAAGAGAAAAAGATAAACGACAGCTTAGCCTGTAGTCTGTATTGATTTACACTGCAGGCCAAGAAGAAGATTTTCTTGTCTTGTACAGATTTGTTTAACGGGGATTAGTTTGCAGCTTTAATGTATTTTTCTGTCATTTGCATCCAGGCTACTACAGCCTGCTTGTTGAAGGGGAATTAAGACAACATGGATCCTCTGGAGAAGGCCTATTACTACTAAATTGGGCATTTTTATATATATACCAGCGCTTTACATCAAAATAAATGTTACTCTTTTTATACTTGGTCCGAAAACCTTCTAGTGTTTACTTTTGAACATAGAAATCGTGGTTGTTATTACTGGATTCTTTTCTTTCACCATCATTTCTCATCCAGTTTTAAATACTAAAGTCAATTCTTAATTAAAAGAGATGACTACATAGCAATCTTGGTGTTCATTTGAGGGGATCATTTCTCAGTTTCTTGTAACACTGTCAAGCTTAAAGTTGTTTTATTCCTTTGGGCATAACTGTGTCTCCATTCATCTCTTATAATTTGGTTTATGGAGATGGAAATCTTGCAGCCACAAGGCCTTTTCTTTGTAGTATTGTAGTAAAAAAACAGTTGGAGCTTTGTCTGCTTCTGCCTCTGTAGCGTGTGAATAAGCACTAACATTTTCTTGTAATTTACTGTTTTTCCAGAGGGGAAATGAGTAACAAGATGGACGGTCCAGCGGGAGAGGGTGCCAAAGCCAATGGGCCCATTGCAGCACCTAACACCCCCACAAGTACAATGGGCCCCCCTCTGTCCCCAGAAGAGATGGCCGAAGAGCAGCAATCATCCCTGACAGATGTCACTAAAATGTGGATTAACTTTGCCAAGACTTTTGCCCTAATATTTCCTATCTACGTCTTGGGATATTTTGAATTCAGCTTTAGCTGGGTTCTGATTGGACTTGCAATGCTTTTCTACTGGAGGAAGAACTATGGCAACGGGGACTACAGGATAAACCGTGCCTTAGCGTTCCTGCAGCAGGAGGAGAAAGCGGTGAAGCAAAGTGTGCCAACCACAGAGCTGCCACCATGGGTATGTACCGCAGTGTTGTTGTAGTCCGTATATTATCACAGTCTTGTTATGGTTTATTTGCTTTCCTATTCTCTCAGGAGTTCTCACAGTCAACATCAAATATAGGATGTCTGCCAAGATGGCTGACATGGATGACTAATTTCCCTGCAGCTCTGCCCACTGATTTTTTGTTTTGTTTTGTGTTCTTTTTGCTTCTTTACTCAAAATACTTGACAGACATCCCAGCTCACATGCTTGTGTGTCCAGTCAAATTAAAGGATCAGACAAACGCCCTGTAATTTCCATGTTTGGGATATTTTCTGAAGTCTTGCGTGCAAGATGATACAACGGTATTGGCATTTGTTTTTCTCATAGGAAAGACTGCTGCAGTTTATTGCAGATTGGTTGACCAGAAGTTTAAGCCATAAAGTTTAATTTAATTTCCCTTAAATTCCTCAGCATCAATAATAAAATGCATAAAAATTGCAAATAGCATAGATTTTATTGGCTGAATCTCTGCTAGGTCTTCATGAAGGCATCACTTTTTTGCTGTCTCCTGTGTCCTGCACATCACCTACATATAGGGCAGGTTGTGCACACATTGTCGGTTTTTGCTGTTTGTTGCATCACCTTCCAGGAGGTATTTCTCAGATTGTCCATGGAATGATCAAAATGGCATTCAGACTGCAGCATGTCTGACATTTGAAACCCTGACTGGGCAAAACAAATTTTGTTGCTTGTTAATGTTGGCCTCATAAATAGCCCCTGGAAAGGTCACATTCTGCCCTTTTGTTGACGGTCCACATCATCAGTCCTAGGATTTAGTCAGCATTAGGCTCATTTCAGTGTTTTTAAATGGCCAAAGAAGTTGGAGATGTCAGTCAATTAATCTCCTACGTGTGACAACCCAGTGTGCCCCTGAAGCTTTTTAGGAGAGTCATCAAACCTGTTCTATTTTTCAATTTCTCTCTTCATTCCTGAGATGTTTGGTGTATTTGTCTGTTACGAAATTAGTGTATAAAAGCAGGAGGCAGACTGACTGCACAGCTTTAACACAGCTGTCATTCTCTCCATTTACTTGATCTTTGCTTATAAAATGTGACATTACTATTTCCCATTATACCAGGAATGGAGATTAGTGTTGGGCATGTGCACACAGGTTCCAATGAGAACTGAGAAACGATGTGAACTCTGCAAATTTGTTCGTTTGGCCCGAGGTGGCAGATAATCCTTAAGAGCACAGTGTTCTCCCATGATGCTTTTTCTTTCGTTTCTCATTATCAAGCTTAACGAAATCCATAAAAAAACGTCATATCACGGTCTGCAATTTCCTTTACTGCAGAAGGTCACATGAAAGCATCGTTTTATGTGGTCATAATGTTGAGAGAATATCATTTTTGTTTTCGTTGATTGTCTAGTTTGTCAATGTTCTTTCTGACGTCTAGTATTCTTTTGGGTTAAAAATGTCATAATGTGCTTCAGTTCAATTCTGTTTTTATTATATAGAGCCAGAATAAAATCCTGATAAAACCAAAATATTAGATGGGCAACAATCTGATGAGACCCTGTGAGCAAGAATTTGGCGATGATGGAGAGGAAGAACTTCTCTTTAACAGGAAATACTCTGTGGTAGGACTAGGCTCAAGGAGAAGGAAAGCTTTTTGTAACTACTCGTTGGTGAGATGTTGGGAAAACAATGACAGAAAAGCGACTGATTTTTCTAAGAAAAAAATCAATGGCCTGATTAGCATATTGAGCACCTTGGTGTATGTCTTTGAATCCTGATGAGGACTTGATAGATCTCTGCACTGCATGCTCATCCTGTAGTGACTAATCAATCCTTCTTTTTGACTTTCCCCTGTTTTGACTGGGGGAAATGATTAAGAAAAAGGTGTCATGCTGACCATTAAATGAGACCATAAACTTATTTGAAATGTGTTTACTGAGGTCATCGATCAACTGAGCCAAATTCATGCCTTCCCATAGACCTCTGTACCATTAGACTTGTGCAACCAGAGGAGTCAACACCTGCTGGCCATTAGAATTCATATTAAGGGACTTTTTACATTAGCTTCATTTTTCAGATACAAAAGCTCTGGCCATCTTGTGTCCAAAGTTTATGCTAGCAGACCGTGGCTGACTTACCTAGCATGGGCTCAAGGATCGCTTGTTAGCTCAGAAAGTAGTAGATTAGATTAGATTAGATTAGATAGAACTTTATTAATCCCTCGGGTGGGTTCCTCTGGGAAATTCGATTTCCAAAAAAGCACAGCACCGACAGAAGTTACAGAGTTATACACACACACATATATATAAATACAGAGACAATATAAATAAAATATACGAAGGGGATAAATATAATAAATAGGAATAAAAATAAAAATACAAGTGAATTGCACATTTCAAGTATTGAGTCTATTGCACCGTTGACTATTTACAAAAGTATTGCACAAAAGGTATTGTACAGTGAGGTGAAGAGGCACTACAGCTTAGTTGTTCCTAAGTACTAACTTAGGAACTTAGTTAACTTACTAACTACTGCTTAGTAGCAGTAGTTACAATATTACGTTCACTATTAATAGTTCTACATGAAGATAAGCTCCACTCTTGTCTGTGTTCAGCCTTCCTTTCTCCTTTAATACAACAAAAAGAAATGAGGCGCATCCTTCTTTGTGTGTTAAAGTACGAAGCAGGTACAAAAATAACACAAAGGAATTGTCCAATAAATACTAAAGCATTCATCCAATTCTTCAACCCTGTTTTGTTTATAATAAGAGATTAACAGATAGCTGTCACTTATTGTTAACAGTAACAAACGGTCACACTGTATACCTGTGTTTTTCCACACTTGCAAACTGCACAATTCATCAGCCATCCTTTCCAAGGCTTCTGTGATTTGAAACCCGCTGACACTGTAGTGAAGAGGCTTCCGTTTTTCTGTCACATTTACTATTATCGATGATGATGCCAGAGTAGGAACTGTAAGAGGCTGAGTCGATGGCAGGATGCCAGGCAGACCCAAACACGGCCCCCCTCCCGTCACAGAGCAATCCATCAACACAGCCATTGTCACACAAAAATGATGCCCAGCAATAACAATAGGTGAAAAATAAAAGCTCACCTGCACGAGGAAAGATCAGTGGATTAGAGCAGCTGTGTGGAAACCGCATGTTTTCTCTGTGTAACACTGTGGAACCTTTAAGTAACTTTGTGTTTAAGAAGAAAATGTGAAACCAGTGAAAGGATGTTAACGTATTTACACGTCCCAGTGATCGGCATCAGTGGGACATAATCAACTGTGAACTTTGACCTCTGAAACAGACACGGTCTGTCACTGCCTGTCATACAAGACAGTTTATCTACGTCACCTATGTCACATTAACCTCCAAACTAAATGATTAGGAGCTCACTGTGAGTCCTGAGACGACATAGAGGAAAAAAGTGAAACAGTTTTCTTAGGTTGTTCTTTTCTCAAAGGACAACATTAAATCTTCAGGTTGCATTATTTAAGCAGCAGACCAAAATCTGGGCATGTAAGAAACTAGAAACATGGGTTGTTTCTTTTTGAGTTGATCAATTGTTAATTTGTTCAAGTATTTCTGTCAGACAGGAAGAAAGTCCTGCATCAGCCCAAGCTTATCGTAGCATAAATAAGTGATAATTCAGGGTGACTTGGTTCAGCCTCAACTATAAACTTCATCAAAAAGTTTCAAACCTATTCTTAAAAAATCTAAAGGGTGTCTGTCTCTCAAATCCAAACTGGGAGTTGGTTCCAAAGAGGAACTGATAACTGGTAACTGAAGGCTCTGCCTCGCATGCTTTGAAAGCAAAGTGTCAGAAAGGCACACGGGAGCAAAGATAACGTGAACTCTTGGTTATTTAAGTAGGGCTGCAACTAGAGATTATTTAGTTAGTACATAGAATGGCCTTCTCAAAGCTGAAGTTGATATATTCACATTGCTTATTTTGTCTAACCAACACAACAAAACATGGATATTGGAAAAATGTATCAAATCTTCACATTTAAGAAGTCTGAGTGTTCTTGGTTAATCGTTGTTTTTATAAAAGCAGCAAACCTGAACCTCAGTAGTGAATTAATTTAATAGTCAGTGAAATAGCTGTGATCATCTGTGAAGTATAGATTTTGTTGGAGCTACTTGTCTACTATTTCTCACCCTCCTAGGAAATATGCCTGGAATGAGGCTTGATAGGCAGTGTGGGCACCAGCTCATAGTTAGCAGGCCAAGAATGCCGGAGGATAATGCTACAGTTTTATCTTTCTGAAGACAAACCAACACTGTTCACCTTGTTCTCTCAGCATTGTTGGACACAAAAAGATGTATCTGTTGTATCAGGGCTTTTGGAGTTTACAGCAGAATTGAACTCAGTCAAGACTCTGAGTGAGACTGGATTTTAAGAAGCAAAAGTTAAGAAGAAAATTCAAGATAAATAAAAATCAGGGTTTATGATTATGTACTTCCAGTACAGTGAACCTACTCTTTCAACTTCCTCTGACAACTGCACTCGACTCCTATGAGGATGTGTACAGTTTACATGTGTTATAAGCATTACCAGCTATTTTAAACAAATACTCACCCTTTTATATTCTGTTGTGCAATATTAAATAACTCCCAGCGCATAGAATAAACTTTGATTCAATGCAAAATACTCTCATAACAAACTAAGTTATTAAACTTACATCAGAGTTTGTAAATTGATCAAATAACAGGATATAAACCTATTTCATTTGAGGCTGTTGTTTTGCGACTGGCTCTGAGTTCTAACTAGTTTTAACTCAGGCCACTTTACCTTTTTTTTTTTAGTTTCTTTAAGATGTCAATGTCCAGCTGGGTGACGTTGATTAAATTGTCTGATTAGATTTTTGGGGATTTTTTTTGTCCTCCTTCCTTATCATCCACTGTGAATGTAAACAATGGCAGAAAGTGATACGACAGTACTAGACTGATGCAACAATACTATCATGTGTGCTTTTGAAAGACACCACATACCGTTTTTTGTGC